CCGTCACAAACTGATAGCCGAACGAATAGGGCCTCACCGTCGCGTGGAAATGCATAGAAGCCAAAACACCCTGAACGCGTGGATGTTGAGTCTAAATGTTGAGGGACAACCCCGGAGGAACCTAATAAAAATCCACGCGACCACGGGCGAGTAAAAGGAGTGCTGAACTCCAAATATACAGCAGCAGCAGGCGTCAGGGTCGGGATCGAGCCCACGAGCTCGTGTGTACCGGGCGAGGGCGTTGACCAGGAGAGGTGCGGGCAGCCGGATTCCATCCCTCGTGAAACCGGCACACACATTGTAACGGGGCCGAGGTTGCGTCGCTCTGTGATTTAAGCGTCGCGATCGTTCCACGTGGTGCTGAAGGGCGAATTATCCGTGGCAGTGCAACGGGACTCGAGTCGCTGGGTTCAGCCAACACCAACAACCACCACCACGCATCAAACACTACCACAACCACCACCACCAACCACCACAACCACCACCACGCATCAAACACCACCACCACAACCAACCACCACCACACATCAAACACCACCACAACCACCACCACTACCACCACAACCACCACACACCACCAACCATCACCACGCATCAAACACCACCACCAACCACCACCACTACCACCACAACCACCACCAACCACCACCACTACCACCACAACCACCACCAACCACCACCACTACGCATCAAACACCACCACAACCACCACGCATCAAACACCACCACCAACCACCACCACCCTCCACGCCCGGAAACAGAGTGTGTATGGAAAAGTGTGTGTGCGTCTCGGAGCTCGCTAACAGCGCTTGACCCAACAGTCTGTCCGGGAGCGGTAGACTTGCATCAAACGTCTGCTGAAGGGGGTGGGGGTCTTTGTCAGTGTTGCTGTGGGTTTCACACCTGATGATGATTGCTTGTGTTGCAGTCGAAACGTCGTGAGAATTTTTTTCTAATATTTTTATTATTTTATTATTTCCCTTCTACGTGACTTTACCGAAAGAACCAAGAATACGAATCCCTGCAGTCACGAAATCTTTAAATAAAAAAATAATAGACACATCCTGGATATGTGTTTTGCAGACATATGCCCGATGTGTTTGTAGCTGTGGGGGAGCGGTAGCGCTGTGGTTAGCGCAAGGACGAACCCGGCAAGTTCGATTCCACACTCGCAGCCAACATCAGCGATGAACTTCAGAAACCCGGCGGCCTGTTGCGGTGCGTAAACATCACCGCTGCGGAGACAAAGGCGGCCGGGACGTGGGTGCTCGTCACACAACCCCGTGTGGACCTTGCTACCTGTGTCTGTGTGTGTGTATATATACAATTTATTATTATTTTATTATTTCCCTTCGACGTGAGCGGTAGTGTAGCGGTTAGCGCGCTGCGCTATGAACCCGGCGACACGAGTTCGATTCCCGCTCACGGCCAACACCAGAGACGAATATCTGAACCGGTCCTGGGCCTCCCCTAGGTCGACTCAGCCTCAAATGAGTACCTGGTGCGGTGTGTAAACATCGCCATTGGGGAGACAAAGGCGGTCGGGCGTGGTGCCGGCCACCCACCCCCTCGTGTACCGTTGCGGCCTTCATAGGTGCTCGCTAACAGCACTTGCCCCTACAGTCTGTTCAGGCTACACGGGGGATCTTTTATCTTTATATACACAACGAGAGACGCAAAAACGCCCACGTGGAGCCTCTAGAGTCTAGAGCGATGCGAGCGATATTAGACGGCACGGGCTGGTCGAGCAGCGGCGCTCTCATTCTGAGTGGAGCGCACAGACTCTGCCGTGTCAGAGAGCGTAGCAGCGTTGGCCACGTACGGTGCGAAAGAAGTTCAGCATACGTGAGAGCCCCAAATGATAGCCCCCCCTCGCCACTCCCGCTAAGATGCGACCGTGCTGTGTGACTCTATACCAAGGGCCGTAACTCCGTTACCGTGAAATGTAAATCATAAAGCTCTGCGCACGAATAGTGGGTAATGCAATGAATGCGTTTAGAACGTATATATGTATATCTATATACGACAATTTATTAAAGTAAAACATGTTGTTTTTATTTTTCATCGCTGTAAAAAATGCGTCTCGTTTCATTGTTAGTTCATTGGCCCCGGTATATTATAGTCGGTGTATAATGTGTTGCTGTGTCGGTGATCTCAGTTTGATTCTACAGGATGCACGCATTTCAGCTGCTGCAATGACGGCTATATGGGACTCGTTGGACGTTTCGGCCGGCTGACCTCCTTCAGCGCCACAAACGCACGTACACGGAGCGTCAACGCAACACGCATACACACCCCCAACTCACACGCGTGTTGCGTCATGTGTTAACACACGTGCGACTGGGCACACACGCGTGTAAGTTGAGCACACGTTGCGCATGGAGTTTCTGACTGACCTCGCGGACAAGGGAGAGGATGAGGCACAATGATGATGATGATGATGACGATGACATCATTTCATTATTTTAGTTCGCAAGCGCCGTTCGACGCACGCGTTATTCAACCAAGTCTCAGAGGGGAACCTTCAACAACAAACTCATTTGCCCAACTCCGCTCGGAACAATTCACAAACGCGACGCTTCGGCTCCCCCGCCGTGTGTGGTCCGGCACATCTCTGTCGCTCTCACGTCAAACTATCTCCGATTAGCGCGGTTCGTCTGCGTACGGTGCGAAAGAAGTTCAACATATACACACACACGCGCGCGCACGCAGACTCTCTCCGACGATAACAGCTGCTCGAGACAGCGAGGATAAGCCGCCGTAGAAACATCGCTTTGTAAGTAACGACATCATCTGTACATGCATGTGGTGGAACGTTATTATTTATTTTTTATATAATTGACACCAAAGGCATCGGACTAAGTGTGCTTAATGAGTAAATATACTACTCTTGCCTTTGCACATTAGTCCATCAATTGGCCCAGATGCGTCAACAGGCGCCCGCTGGCAATGCTCGGCCCGCAACAGTCTACACCTACCCAGGTGTTCGGGTGCAATTTAGTGTTGGGTGTGTAGTGTGTGAAGTGTGTGTGTGGTGTAGTGTGTGAAGTGTGTGTATGAGTGGCGTGTGTGGTGTGTATGGTGTAGTGTGTGGTGTTTTTGTAGTGTATGGTGTGTGCGGTGTAGTGTGTGGTGTGTTTGTAGTGTGTGGTGTGGTGTGTGTGTGTGGTGTAGTGTGTGATGTGGTGTAGTGTGTGAAGTGTGTGTGGTGTATGTGCTCGCTAACAGCACTTGCCCCAACAGTCTGTTAAGGCTATACGGGGGACCTTTATCTTTTTGTGTGTGAAGTGTATGGTGTGTGGGTTTGTGGTGTTTGTAGTGTGTGTGAGTGGTGTCTGAAGTGTGTGTGAGTGTATGGTGTGTGAGGTGTGTATGGTGTATGTGTGTTTGTGGTGTGTATGGTGTATGTGTGTGTGTGGTGTGTATGGTGTAGTGTGTGTGGTGTGTGTGCTCGCTAACAGCACTTGCCCCAACAGTCTGTTAACGCTATACGGGGGATCTTTATCTTTTCGTGTGTGAAGTGTATGGTGTGTGGGTTTGTGTGGTGTGTAGTGTGTGTGGTGTAGTGTGTGAGGTGTGTGAAGTGTGTAGTGTGTGTGTGGTGAGTAGTGTGTGTAGTGTGTGTGGTGTAGTGTGTGAAGTGTGTGCGTGGTGTAGTGTGTGAAGTGTGTGCGTGGTGTAGTGTGTGAAGTGTGTGCGTGGTGTAGTGTGTGAAGTGTGTGCGTGGTGTAGTGTGTATGGTGTGTGTGGTGTGTAGTGTGTGTGTGGTGTGTAGTGTGGTGTGTAGTGTGTGTGAAGAGTGTATGGTGTGTAGTGGGTGAGGTGTGTGAAGTGTATGGTGTGTGTGGTGTGTAGTGTGTGAAGTGTGTGTGTGGTGTAGTGTGTATGGTGTGTGTGTAGTGCGTGTGTGGTGTAGTGTGTATGGTGTGTAATGTGTGTGAAGTGTATGGCGTGTGTTGTGTGCTCGCTAACAGCACTTGCCCCAACAGTCTGTTCACGGCGAGACGGGAGATCTTCGTCTCGCGTGTAGTGTGCGTCGGAATAAAGGATCTTGCACGTGGCGAGTGCATACACACGCTGTTGTCATTGCTTTATTTTATAAAGTGACGTCCCGTGGGTTTGATTGTAAATATTTGTTGGCTTTTAATTGCTATGGTGAAAGGAAACGTCCGTCTATTTCAGGCGACAGCAGATGACGGCAAGATGATTGGTATACGACTTGCATGAAAACACTCTGTACGCTCAATATAGTGCGTGATGTACCATCACACGTTGAGCGATGTGCCATCAGCATAAACACAGCGAGTGATGTTCCATCAGCACAGTGCAGCTGTGGCTGAACCATTAGCAGCACAACAAGCGGCACGAGTATTTGTGTGATATTACGGGTAACATCATGCATGAGCAGATTCCGTTCCTATCAACATACAGACACAAATCTTTACAATACATCGGCCCCTTGGCTTTCCAGACCGACACTATCCAGCGGTATTTGTTTAAGCAAAAAAAAACAGAACTGAATCGGTGTTTTTTGTTAATCAGTCTGGATGATGTACAAATCGTTGCGCGCGCCGTGCGACGATTCACCGCCACGAAAGCATCGCAGCGCACGCCGAGTGACAGGTGTGGGGACGCCTCGTCAATGAATCGTCGGACAGGAGGCGAGCGACGCATCAGGAACGAGCTCACGGGACCCGACCATCGACGTGGCCGCAACGAGACGATTGTTGCGGCCGTCGTCGACACAGAGAGAGAGAATGCTCAGAGAGCGAGAGAGAGAATGCCCAGAGAGAGATAGAGTGAGCGAGAGAGTGAGTGAAAGAGTGAGCGAGAGGTGGGGGTTTACATAAAGCAAAGTAAAAAAAAAATTTACGAAATGATGAACGAAGCCAAAGTGCCGACTACACCGAGCATCTTCTTGTTTCCACTGATCGTAAAACAAAAAAAGAGAGAGAATGCCCAGAGAGAGAGAGAGCGCGCGGACGCGACGTCGCTCTTACCTCTAGCGTCCTGAGCGCGGGCTTCGGGCAGGATGAGCTCGGAGTTGCCCGCTCGGTGCGCTTGCAGATTTAGAGACATCGTCGCTTGCAGGCGATCAACAGCAGCAGCAGCAGCGACAGCGACAAACAACAACACGCAGAGTGGACTCGACGACTTCAGCGGATGCGCGGCAGTGCCGGTTCGTCCATGTAAGGCGAGGTGAGGAAGTCAACGCCGATGCTGCTGCTGATGATGATGATGGCTTGATGAAATGTGTCGATTGCAAAGGCGGCGGCTGCTGCGGCTGCGGCGGTGCTGATGATGCCGGTATTGTGCGGCGGAGACGCGCCGCGAGGTGCGTAGATTATGCCGGGATTGTCCTGAGCCGAGAATTAATCGCGACTTTAGCCCGCTCTTGACCGGCTTAACGACGTCTCGGGGGCAGGGTTCGTCTCGGCGAGAGGATGACGAAAGACAGCGAGAGAGAGAGAGAGAAATACAGAGAAAGAAAGACAGAGAGAGAGAAAGACAGACAGAGAAAGAAAGACAGAAAGAGACAGAAAGACAGAGAGAGACAGAGAGAGACGGACGGCGAGAAATGAACGAACACCGTCTACAGGCTACAGTCTGCAAGTCACGGATCGAGTCGAGATATTCGAAGAGTTCGCTATCCCCTTCTCCTCCCTCCTCCTCCTCCCCACCCCAAAAGCCGTCGGCGGCTAAAGGTGTCGAGTCGTGGAGTCTCGAGTCAGCGCGCGGACGATGCGTGGAGGAGTCGAGGCGAAGGCGCGGAGTGCGACGTCTCCATGCTCGACAGCTCCGTGTGCGCGAGCGATTCGAGAGAGAGGCGAGAGACGCACGCCGCTACGTGGGGGTGGGTGGGTGGGGTGGGGTGGTGATGAGGTGGGTGGGGTGGGTGGGTGGGTGGCGTGGGTGGGTGGGTGGGAACGCGCGGCGAGTCCCAGCGTCGAAGCGGACAGCGTGGGAGGAGAGGAGCGGCGCTTCGAGGAGGAGGAGGAGAGCCTCCCGTGATGAGATCTTCTCGTGCGCAGCCGAGGGACACCCTCGAAGCGGGCCACGCCCCGACTCCGTCAAGCCCCTCCCTCCCTAGAGGCGAAGCCCCGCCCACTCGAACAAGCCCCGCCCCTCTTCACTCCTGCCTCTGCACCCCCCCCAACTTTCACGTTGGGTTGACAGCTGGCGGAGGTGATGAAGGTGGTAGTGGTGGATACGTGAATGGACGGTGGTGGTGGTGTTGGTGGATGAATGCAACGATTATCTGTGGGAATCCTATAGAATCGGCGGGACAGAAGGCTCAAAGGGATCCTCAGCCTCCATAGACGACTGCGGCTGTTTGCGAGCGCCTATTAAGGTGGGCGCACGCTCAGAGTGTGTCTTGCCTAGCCACAACACCGCGCCCGTTATTATTTTGTCTCCCACCGGTGCCGATGTTTACACACCGGCACCGGCTACTCATGCACGGCTGCCTCGCTCTGGGGGGGGGGGGGGGGTCCAGGGCAAGCTCAGACGCCACTCGATGCCGCTGTTGCCCATGCCCCAGAATGTAATCCAAGGTTGCAAGGTGCACACAAAAGATCCCCCGTGTAGCCTTGACAGACTGTCGGGGCAAGTGCTGTTCGCGAGCACCTATGAAGGCCGGCACGGCACACGAGGGGGTGGGTGGACAGCAACCACGCACGGCTGCATTTGTCTCCCCAGTGGCGATGTTTACACACCGCACCAGGTACTCATTTGAGGCCGTGTCGACCTAGGGGATGCCCAGAACCGGTTCAGATAATCGTCACTGATGTTGGCCGTGAGCGGGAATCGAACCCGTGTCGCCAGGTTCGTAGCGCAGCGTAGTGCTAACCACTACACCACCGCTCCCCACCACACAGACACACAGACAAAGCTCCCCCCGTATCGCCTGTAACAGACTGTTGGGGCAAGTGCTGTTTGCGAGTAGCACCTATGAAGGCCGGCACGGCACACGAGGGCGTGGGTGGCCAGCATCACGCCCGACCGCCTTTGTCTCCCCGGATTGCGATGCTTACCACACCGCACCAGGTACTCATTTGAGGCTGAGTCGACACTGACGCACTCACACACACACACGCTAGAGTCAGGATCGATTAAGTACATGCACTTACCGGCAGGTACAATCTAAACGAGTCATCATTATACTCTTTAGTTGAAATCTAAATTTTATTAATGTTTTTTTTACGCTTGCCTTGTCAAAGAATGTTCTTAAACCCGACAATTTAGGCCATCCAATCAGAAGCCATCCGACCCGAACGCCCAACTTTTTCATTTTCGAGCGAGAACATCTCGACACCGACTCAGAGTGCCGGGAGTGGCAGCTTCGATGTTCATTCATCGGCAGCTCCCGTGGCGCTACGATCGGATTAAAGACGGCGTCGTCGTCGTCGTCATCCCTCTCGCTCCGAGTTGTTGCATCGTTCGCGCTTGTTCGAAATAGTCAAGAGGGAGGTGAAACGCGATGTGCGGACGCGACAAGGGGCTGCGATCAAGGGCAAAGGTCCCCCCGTGTGGCCTGTGGCAGACTGTTGGGGCGAGGGGCTATTAGCGAGGAGCACATGTGAAGGCTGGTACGGCACACGAGTGGGTTGGGTGGCCGGCACTCACGCCCGACCGCCCTCGTCTCCCCAGTGGCGACGTTTACGCACCGCACAAGGTTACTCATGTCAGGCTGAGTCGACCTGGGGGGGGGGGGGGTGGGAGATCCTGGACCTGGTGCAGATAATCGTCACCGGTGTTGGTGTCCGTGAGCGCGAATCGAACTCGGGTGGCCGGGTTCGTAGTGCTGCGCGCTAACCACTGCGCCGCCACTCCCCCCCCCCCCAGACGCTGTCTCCCCGACAGACCTGGTCTTCACCTGAGGACGGCTGCTTGCGTTGTGGCCGAAACGTCGTGAGAATTATTTTATCATGTTTTATTTTTATTATTTTATTACCTCCCTTCTACGTGACTTTACCGAAAGAACCAAGAAAGATGAAGTCGCTCTGATTTGACGGTGCAGCGTGCGCGTTGCACGTGGCAGCGTGCAGCGTGAGAGCGCGCAGCCTACGGAGGGGGCGACGCACCGGAACTGAGCCGATTTGATTTCTGTCATTGACGCTTCACGCGCGCAAACGACCCCAGTAGGGGTTGTGATGTCTGAAGGGATTCTCGGCATGCCCTAGATCGACTCAGCCGTTAATCAATTATCTATCTGCTGCGGTGTGTTAAAAAAAGAAGACAAACATCCACCCGTGTAGCCTTAACAGACTGTTGGGGCAAGTGCTGTGAGCGTGAACGCGGCACACGTGGGGTGTGGGTGGCCAGCGCCCGGCCCGACCGCCTTTGTCTCCCGAGTGGCAATGTTTACACACAGCACACCAGGTACTCATTTGAGGCCGAGTCGACCTAGGGGATGCCCGGGACCGGTTAAGATAATCGCCACCGGTGTTGACCGCGAGCGGGAATCGAACTCGAGTCGCCGGATTTCGTAGCACAGCGCAGCGCGCTAACCGCCACGCCTCCACCGTTGCGGGGAGACAAAGGCGGCCGGGCGTCTTTCTGTCATCATTGACGCCGTGGAACCCTGGGTACGCGCGCGGCGTTGGAGCGCATCAAGGGAGCTCTTTACACAGTTCACTCTTCCCACGCGCCGTGCGACGCTTCGCAAACGCGGCGTTTGTGCACGCGCGTGGAAATGATCCACTGCTGGATGACGGGCCTCCTCCTCCGCTACCCCCCCCCCCGACCCTAAACGTCGTGCGGGGGGCGTAGCGAGCTATTTGACCGCCATACTTCACCGCGTCGGTCGACAGTCGTTGCGTGCGCCGCGTTCGCACGGCGCGCAGAGACAGATCCGTCCGACTCCGGCGAACGATCGCCAACAGGTACATTGGCGTTGGCGATTTGTCGCGTTACTGGTGATGGACAGAGAGAGACGTCGGCCTTACGTTGTTTGCAACAACAACAACTACAACAACAGGAGCAGCAACAATAGCAACAGGGACACCTGGCGAAGGTTACATGCAGTCAAAATGAGAATGTGTTCGCCGTGCCGTAACGAGAACGACATTGACACAGTGCAACATTCGCATCGGCACCGCGAGAGGCGGTGGAACGCGCATCCATCCGGACGCGATCTCTCCCCGGTAATGGAGCCATGCCGGACAGAAATCTAGAAGGTCCATTGGCCGAAACGTCGCCTGTTGTTTACACGTCACGGTCGGTGTTCCCTCTTTAAGGCGGCGGAGTTATTTGTTTGTCGGGGTTTGTGCTCGCACGCCACCACCACTGCTGTATCGCAACAACAGCAGCAGGTACGGTTGGCTACGTACGGTGCGAAAGAAATCCGACGTACACAACAGGCAGGCAGAGAGGCAGCACGCGAGATGATCGCGTGCGTCCGAGCGCACGCGACGCAGCGAGGAAGAGACATCGTCGGCGAGAGACGCTCGTCGACTCGAAGGATTCTTGCCGAGGGTCACTTCAAGTCACCCCGAACGGTCCGACTCGGTAGAAGCTGCTCGTGTCGCGTTGTCTCAAACGTGGTTAGTGGCGGTGGTGGTGGTGGTGATGGTGGTGTTGTGCTGTGGGACAAATGCGGCCGGGCGTGGTGCTGTCCACCCACCCCCTCGTGTGCCGTGCCGGCCTTCATAGGTGCTCGCTAACGGCACTTGCCCCGACAGTCTGTCAAGGCTACACGGGGGATCTTTTGTGTGCACCTTGCAACCTTGGATTACGTTCTGGGGCATGGGCAACATCGGCAAGTACAGATTCAAACACACGGGCACGCGACTCACGTGTACGTTGCATTGTGATCGAGGAAAAAGGGATTGTAGAATGTCGGGCGATATGTGAACGCTACCGAGAATTGCTTCGTAAATAAATCCACTGCCGTCGCTGGTTCGATTGGTGTCTGAGTGTGTGTCTGTCTGTCTGTCTCTATGCGTGTGTGTCCGTAGGGTAGCGGTTAGCCCCCTCCACACACACACACACACCGAGTTCGATTCCCGCTCACGGCCAACACCGGTGGCGATTATCTGAACCGGTGCTGGGCCTCCCCTAGGTCGACTCGGCCTCAAATGAGTACCCGGTGCGGTGTGTGAACATCGCCACTGGGGAGACAAAGGCGGTCGGGCGTGGTGTTGGCCACCCATCCCCTCGTGCGCCGTGCTGTCATTCATATATGTGCTCGCTAACAGCACTTGCCCCAAACAGTCTGTTAAGGGCTATACGGAGGGATATTTGCCTTTGTGTGTGTGTGGCGTGAGTGCTTCACGCGCCGCGCAACGATCCCGACTACGCGAGTTTCGATTCCCACTCACGACCAATATCATACACGGATATTTGAACCGGTCCTGGTGCCTCCGCTAGGTCGACTCAGCCTAAAGACGGGCACCCTGGTGCGGTTCTATAAACAATGGCAACGTGGAGACAGAGACGGCCGGGCGTCGTGTTGATGTTCATCTCGTGAGGATTTGCTCATTGCGTTCCGAAATTAGTTCAACACGCACGCGCGGCGCATTGCAACCCCCAGCGCTTGCCCACCAACGCGCGCGTAACCTATCCACGGCTCGATCTTTGTCTTTGTGCATTTTTTGTTTGCTCCGTCTTCCGCTGCCCTCTTCTGCTTCTTCTCCTCCTCGTCCTCGGCGTTGACGACAAGAGCGCACGAGCGAGTAAGCCATGAACGTCGCTCAGCGGAGCCGTGTCGCGCCGTGGGGGTGCCCTGTGGGGTCACCGCTGCCCGCTTCCCTCTCCT